AGTCGCCATGCCACCGCATACCTACGAATATTTAAGGCTCCCACCTTCATCAGGCATCGTTGCACTGTGTGTGCTGACTGCTTGATGGCCGATATTCGTGCCCTTAATTGCTGCAATTTCATCACGTGTGTTGGATGTCGGTGTGATGATTGCTCGACAATCTGACCCACCGGCCCTGGCGTTAGGACGAGTGTGTACATGTGCGCTCCCAACGTGGCTAATTACCCGCCTAAACAGAGTTGTCAGCACCGAATATGGAAGGGGAAGGTCGTTGCACTCGCTGATGGATTGGAGGCCAGTGAAAAATAACTCAAGCAGCCCGCAGTTCACGCGGTTGTCACTTCTTGCGAGAATTCCGGCCTCGTCGAATTTGAATGTGTGGCGGGATCTCGTCCAATGAGCCGCAACTTCAGAGCTGGCGTCATTTCTCCGCACTTCTGCAGTGTGTTCGGCCATTGGCGTTCGGAGCTGTCTTCCGGTTTCTCCGACGTAGTTGCTTTGCCCACAACTGCATCAGATCCGGTAAACGATTCCAGACGTTTCTTGCCGTGGCAGTGGGTCTTTTGGTCTCATTATCTGACGCCTGATGATTGCCTCTGGTCTGTGTGTAGCTCAAACCCCAAGTGGTGCGAGAAGGCGGACGACAGCTACCGAAACGTTCTTGACTTACGGAAGCGTTCGCTAAAATTTGGGGTTCTTGCGGTTTGGCCTTTCGTACCTTTTGCGTATGTACCGGTCGACGAAGTTGCGCGGGTAGCCATTGGCTTTGAAGACCCCTCGGAGGTATTGCAGTTCGACAATCTTGTCATCCGGTTCATCGCAGTGCGTTTTGACACGCCGATAGAGTCCTTACACAGCTGCGTTTGTGGCTGATTGGGTGGTTGCTGTTGAAGTTCAGTACTTGCATCTTATTTGTCGCTTTTGTGAACACTTTGGTCTTAAGGCTACCATAATCTTTGCGGCATACGAGGACATTCAGGAAGGCCAGCTGGTTGTTATCTTCCTCCTCAATCATAAATTGTATGTCCGGGAAGACTTCATTCAGATGTTCCTTGAATGTCAACAGTTGATCCCGGTCGATAACGACGAAGGTATAATTCACATACCGGACACAGAACTTCGGTCTGTAGTGTTGGAAGTCCAGCGACTCTAACCGTTGCAGGACCGCCTCGGCGATGAACTCCGAAATCGGCGAACCCATTGGTGTGCCCTTCACCTGTTTGTAGACTGTCCCGTCGAACGTGAAGTACGTCCTGAAACAAAACTTCAGGAGCTGAAGGACTTAGACATGTCCAAGACGATTCTCCGTTTCATCATATTTGCTTCGAAGAAGCAGCTCGATTGTCTCGATCTGCAGGTCCTTGGGAATAGAAGTAAAAAAGGGATGTAACATCAAAAGATACCCTGACCCCATATGGATGGAAGCTTACCCCTTTGAATTTCTCCAGGAATTGTGCTGACGAAGAGACCGTGGTGTTTGATTCAGTGGTCAGGAACTTGAGACGCTGGAACAGCCACGTAGCCAGTCCGTTGGTTGGAGCCCCTTTGATCGACACGATGGGTCGGAGAGGCGTTCCCTCTTTGTGCACCTTAGGGAGGCCATAGAATCGGGCCAAAGCCGTATCTTGGGGTATCGCCATGCGTCTGTCGGTCGGTGTTATTGCACCTGAGTTCTCCAGGGCCAACAACGTAGCATTAATTTCGCGTCTCATCGCTTTTACAGAGTTCGTCGAACATGGGACATAGAACTGTCGGTCCTCCAGTAAACCCTTGGCTTTTTGAAGGTAGTCTGTCCTGTCAAGTAGAACCATGGAGCACCCCTTATCCGCTGGCACGATGACTAAGCCTTTGTCGACCTTGAATTCTTTAAGCGCATCACGTTCGACCTTGGAAAGCATTTCCCGCGGCTTCGCTCTTTGTCTCTTTGCTTCTATTAGCGATCTACAAGACCGGCGTCCTGACGACACTTCTATATGGAGCAGGGACCTGGACCGACTACTCCAGCCATGCCAGGAAGCTCAGCTACTTCCATCTCAACTGCCTTCACAGAAAACTAAAGCTGAGATGGCAAGACAGGATCTCCGACACGGGAGTCCTAGAACGGACCGGCCTCCTTAGCACTCACGCCATGCTGAGGCAACTGCAGCTACGTTAGGGCAGCCATCTTTTGAGGATGGAAGACACACGACTACCGAAACAACTCTTCTATGGTGATGTCGCCATGGGTGCTCGTCGACCGGAAGGACTAAAATGGCGCTAAAATGACACTTTTATGAAGTCCGAATCAACTGCACATCAATCCAGAGACCTCATTTGGACAGCATCTAGAACAGATCGGCCTGTAAAATAGAAGTGAAGACTGGCCCAGCCATCTATGAAGCATATCGGATCGTCACTGCCAAAGCCAAAAGGGAGGCTAACAAGTCACAAGTACCTCGACTCCTCAATGTCAACCATTCGCCGGTTCCAACATACCCGCGTTACCAACGCGCATTCCGCGCGCGAATCGGCCTCATAGAACACCTTCGGACGCAATGCGCCAACAACCCGGCAACGTAAATTCCATCTCCCACTCTTACCCCTGCCGCAAACCTCGCAACGACCACGGTTCCTGCGTCGATCACAGCGGCCAGTGCCGCCAGCACTACATCTCGCATCCCCCACCCCCCGAGGTGACGAAATACGACGTCCCATCATCTGCTGTCATGATCACCAGCACTCCCACCTCCAGTGGTGTGGACTCGATCCAAATGTCTCCTCATTGCGATCACACATTCACCTCGCACATCAGCCTGATCGGTCAACTGCGAATCCGTCGCACGGAGACTGGTGAACCAGTGCCTGGAGCACCAACATACCCCAGACGCATTCACCTCACCTTTCCGCACTGTCCTTGCACATCCAGCTACCGTACAAGCCTACTAGGCTACATGCACATCTGTGGAAACCTGGGTTAGACAACCTCCTACTATAACACAGCATCACACGTTTGCCCACCAACATCTGCAACATTCACCAACATCACCCATCATCACACCACACAAGCACGCAAGTGATACCTCTCAGGCAAGTAGGAAGTGTGCTCCTCGGCTTCTTCTCCATGCGGCCTCTCTGCCCCATGTGTGATCCGAACCCGAGACTACCATGGTGTGCCAAGCGCCGTGACTTGGAAGGTTGCCAACTGACGCCTCAACTCAGTCCGCGCAGTCTGTCCATTTGTGTTTGTATGTAATGGCGGACTGATGGATTAAGAGTCAGACTTCAACGACTTCTTCTTAACGTCCCCTCTGGCACGCTTATGCATGTGAGGTGTGTGTGTGTAGGGCTGTCCAGCGGTGGGTTCATGTGACTTCATGGTAGGTATCTCACCCGCTTGCAGGTGCAGACTACACCTAACGTCCACTTGCTGGCACCCAACTCTCACATGTGGCTCCCCGAAGTTAGGCTCTGCCTAGCAGCCACACTCCGGTAACGGCCTCGATCGGCGGGCTAAACCAGGTGATGGTATCCGTGCGTGCGCTTGCGCGCACGGTATTGTGGACTCCGCTGACCGGATGGATCTTCGCGTCGACATCGTCGGGACGAGGCTCCGTCTGGACCCGCGCAGTAGCCACGTGAAAATTGAATCCACGGTTCCCAGGGTAATTCGGATCGTTCTCTCAATAACACAAAGCCATGGCCCACAGTGGAGTTCGGCAGCCGTCTGGGACAACGGAGCAGCTCTATTTAGGGGTGAAGTGCTCACCCCGTAAGGATAGGGGGCTAGAAAAGGTGCCCTACAAATTGCTGGTAGTCGAGCTGTCTGTAGGCTGACCGTGGCCGCATACAAAAAACACACGGTCGAAACAATAAAAACAGAAATAACAACCATCTCTCTCTCTTCGTCTTTCTGCCTATTCTTTTTCTTCTTCTCCTCCCAGCCGTCCCACTCGCCAGACTGGTAGGGTGAGTTTGCTCACCCTGGCATCCCGGAATGTTCGTTCCCTTCTAGACAATCCGAGGAGAAACCGACCGGAAGGGAGGACGGCGCTTTTGGCTCGGGAACTGGCGTGCTACAAGGTGGGCATCGCAGCACTCAGCGAGACCCGGTCCTCCGAACAAGGCTAACTGGAGGAAGTGGGTCCCAGCTACATCTTCTTCTGGAGCGGTTGCCCCAAGGCAGAGCAATGGGACGCTGGGTGTCTCTTTCGCCATCCGGAACGAAATCGTAGGACAACTGTCCTATCTGCCGCAGGATATCACCGATCGCCGGATGAGCCTCCGTCTGCCTCTCCGGGGAGGCAAATTCGTCACTATCATCAGCGCCTACGCTCTCTCAATGAATAGTCCTGACGACAAAATAGCCCGCCGGATTTCGAAGACCAGTCAAGCCTTCGGCCGCCTTCAAAGCACAGTTTGGAATCGTCACGGTCTTCAGTTCAGCACGAAACGGAAGATGTACAAGGCCGTCATCTCTCCGGGTACCGTAGTCCCGACGCACCCAGTACATTCAGCACACCCACCATGCCTGGCCCTCCCTCACTCCGTCGTCCTGTGCGCCCACCGCCATCACCACTATCACCGGATTTGACACCGATACTACCGACCTCCTGTCCACACTGTCCCCGCATATTCACCACACGCATCGGCCTGATCGGTCACTTGCCAATCTGTCGCACAGAGACTGGCGAACCAGTTCCTGAAGCACCCACGTACAGCCGCCGCATCCGCCTCCACTGTCCACACTGTTCTCGCACATTCATGCATCGCATGGGTCTGTCCGACCACATGCGCATCCACGAAAACCGGTGGTAGATAACAGCCGGCTGCACCACACCACCACCACCACATCACCCCTCACCAGGATCTCACCACACATCAAAAACAACCATTGCAAGCACCCAACCGCCACCTCCCACGCAAGTGGGAAGTGTGAGTTATGACTCGGTCTCCGCGCGGCTCCTGTTGCTCCAAACGGGCCACGTGGTAGATGCGTTGGACCAATATGGGGGCCATATCAGATTCTGTCAGGCTTTATAGGAATTGCACACCATAAAAAGTGCCAACATTTCAGGGTGTAGTGGCAGAACCGGTTGCCGGCGGCCGAATATGAGCAGTGCCTTTCAGTCGACGACTGACTGGTTACTCGGCCTTTGAATGGTGTGCTTCACGCTGGATTCAGGGCTGTGTCTCACCCTTGTGGGCTTTAAGGACTGTGTGTGCATGCTATGCCGCGCCTCAGCAAGCCATGGCCATGTCAGTCTAATGTGCGTTAGCAGTTCTCTGGTACCTGATTCCCTGTTGGTGGATGCGTTCGCACTCCCGCTGGGCATACAGGCCATATACGTGACTGCCCATTGACTTTGTTTGAATCGGGTATAGCGGCACGTCTGGGAGCATTCCCGGCCGTGTCAGCCGCCGCCCTTGCCTTGGTTGAAATCGAAATCCTGTTCAGTGCGCATTGTGGACCACGTCTGTTGCTGCAGACCCAGTTGCTGGCTCTCGCCACGCTAATTGGGATGTCACGCAGTCCTCCTCTTTCCTTTTCTTGGTGTGTAACATCCTGATCAAGTGCTTTTTATGGACCGGGGGACGGGGGTGTAGTGGTACGCCTGAGTGTGGATCCTGCCGCGCTAGCCACCTGCGTCCTCTCCTGCCTCCGGTCCTCGTGATTACGTCTTGACGCCGGCTCAGGCAGGGGAGGGAAGAGTGCGGTAGATGCTGTGCAAGTCTATTATCACCATGAACTAACTCACGCACAAATCACCGTGCCTGCCCTCGCCTTGCTGTAGAGTACACAGTGAGTATCGTCCGCAACGACAATCGAACTGTCGGATTGAATTTTGGTTGTGCGCCGCGACATGGGTTGGAATTCAAAGTAAAATCCGAGGCTTAGTTTTAATTCTTTCCTCTAGAGTTGACAGAACGCAAGCCTAACTATCATCCATACTTTCAACGCGCGCCTAACCTTAACTACAAGCGCAAACTTACTTCAAATCGTACTCGAAAAACGCAATTATACGCTTGTTTATCTGCCAGAGAGAGGACCGGATGGGATGATGCACCACTGATGTATCCTAACTTAAGCCTAGGAACAGTATTAACAATAACCATTATCCCGTCCCTATATGTCTGTTTTTAGAAGCCAAACTAGTCTTGCTAGACGAAAATACGCTTCAGATTAGGTTTAATCTGTGATACACACTGAATGATCGTGTTAAGGTGGAGAGCCAATGCTGTTGGAATGACAGGGAAGGGATCAGTGATTATTCAAGTTAGAGGGTTATTGCAGGAGAGCGGAAGACTGAGGATAGCGGGACAGCAGCCAGGAGATTGGCCAAGGCAGAACATTGTCCACTCAGCAATCTGCTTTAACTTTTAAAATAATAGGGAAAGAATAATTTCCACTTCCAGATTACTGCTCAGCAGGAAATCAGAGGGAAGCGACTATAAAAACGTTTAAAGAAATGTAATGCTGACACTAACTTCCCTAATTATGCCCTTCGGGTCGCAAAAGAACTCAGTGAATTTCCTAGCCAATGATTTCCGTAGGATGTACCCTGCAGACACGCAAAACGAAGTTCAAGATCATTAGATATCTTGGAGGAAAAATATGCGCCCTGGTGAATAATTCCGGGGGACCGTCAGAGATGGTCATCCAGAGGGAGCTCTTCCCAAAGACCCATTTTCAAGAAGATAGACTTCAGAGCACTGTCTGAAACCCGCTAAAACATGGAACTACCCTGTGGGCCAAGCGCAAAGTGATTGTCGCCAGACGTTTACTTCATCACCAAGAAGGAAAGGAAGGGTAGCATCTTCAGACCTCATCTACCCATTTGCCTTGTCCTGTTAAACAGATCATAAAGACTGGTGACAGGCGTCTTTCTAAAAGGAACCATAAGTACTGCCTTGCCTTTTGATCAGAGCAGGACCAATTATATATGCAGCGCTGTCCTGACCACTGTATTGGACATCGGTCGATATGCGAACTATAAAAAAAGCTTTCTGAATTGTGCATATTATGCTGACAAACCAGCGGGAGCCCCTGACTCAACGCATACACGCAAAAGCTACAGTGTTAGAAATAAGTATAGAAAGTACGTCCTGTGTTCACCAAAAGTTCCCTAACGAGTCTTCTATCTACGGGGGGCAAAAATTTTCAGCTGTCACATCACTACTTCCACATTACTCAGTATAGAAACCGTCACTTGGGACAAACTGAATTCAATAAAAAAATTTAAAGATACGCAGTGCGTGACCTAAAACATGAGAGGTGTCGAAATTTACGAATGATTGTTAATCAATCGCGAACTGACACCAAATCATGGATCTAATATCTATGTTAATAAAGTACAACTTTGTGAGGAATTAAAAACATAAAAGAACTATTAAAGGCTGCGTTACGTTGCTTCAAAATGCAGATTTTTTAGAAAAGCACAAAATCCCGAAAACGTCGATAATGCTCGTAATCTAGTGAACTTCTTTTTTAGAAGAATGTCTTCTCATAAAAAAAAAGACGAGTAAATATGAACGTACAATAAAACTAACGTTTAAAAATAGTGCTTAAGTGAAGCTTACATCTAAATATCCTTTAAGAATTAGTGTAATTTCATATTTGGCGGTTTGCCAACAGCCTACATTCTGAGCATAAATCCCAAACACATTTTCCAGGGATTCATGGTATTCTTGACTCATTTGAGTTAAATAAAATGCGGTTCAACAAAGGAAAATGGATTTTTCTTGATTTCATCGATGGGCACGTCGTAGGAACAAAAGTTTTCATAAGGCCAAATACTGCCGGGCCAATCGGGACTAAGAAATGTAGAAAGTATTTATAGGCCTAATCGTAAACCTACCATGTTGTGTTTATAATGAGAATTTTTCGGATAGATTAATTTGCACTTTTCGTTCGTGGTGGATTACGTTGAGTTTCAAGTCGGTCTTGAGATACGGCTGAATACTGCCTGGTTTTTAGTGT